TGTATATCATCGAAAAAAATAAACCTAAATTTAAATAAAATTTCACTCCCACGCCTAAAGGGTATGCAACACTTTTTTACGACATTTTTTCCCTCATATTAACATGTAATAATTAAATTCCTGCTACCGTTTTTACCCCATCTCCCCATATTACACCCACTCGGTCTTTGGGAAATTGTAGAACCTTGAAGTATGCTACAATTTCAATGCAATATAGAAGCCCTAAAGTATACTTCAAAACTACAAACGACATGGTGTGTATGTGGGGGCTTATTAAAAATTTACATGGTTTACAACAACTGTTGTAGCAATAACAACAACAACAAAAGGCAAATATGGTGTTACTCTAATAACCATTGTGCGAAGGGGCAGAAGGAGGAGGTGGCACTTTTAGGTCAAGTATGGCAGGGAAGATGGGAGAATTTTTTTTTAAATCTGGAAAAATATTTATTTTGGAATTTTGTGTTCGGAAACAGATGACGAATGTTCAAGAGACCTTTTGTAAATTTTCTAGCATTTCTTCTAAAGGCTCTTAACAAAATAACCGACGACAGTTCCTTTAATGAAAACTTCTTTCAACTCCTCAGCATTTTTTTTTCATTTTTTCCTCTCCTAATGAACTAAACCAGTCAGTCAGTCAGTCTCCTGCCCCTCCGGATCATTTGTCATAATCACAAAATAATTGCAAAATAAACGATGACATTTGTCATGTTTTTCTTTTCGCAAAAATGAAACAAATTAATGACAGTTGACTCATGTCTGTTAATGTTTTTTTTTTTTTTTTTTTTTTTTTTGCCCCTTTTGGCAAATTGCTGTCAATAATATTCACAAAAGTTAATGGTTTCTTTTGTTATGAACTACAACAACAGCAGGAGTAGGAAAAACATAACTCAAAATGACAAACATATTTGAGAGAAAAAAAAGAAGTGCAAAAAGGGATAAGGGAAAGGGATAACAAGGATACCAAGATGAAAGGACAAATTTGTCAAAAAAAAAAAAACAATTGCTGACAAGGCATGAAAAGGCAAATAAATGAGGTTTCTTTTGAAATTAGACGCCTAAAAGCATGCAACATTTTTTAATTTCTACGAAAACACCCAAAAGTATGCTAGAAAATGTGATAAAATGGTGTGAATTGGAAGGAATCTTTGTAAAATATTATGAAACTGTCAAAAAAGTATGCTAGGAAATACAAAACAAAGAAAACAAATTTTCAAGAAAATAATGATTGCTTGAATAAAACGCCTGAAAGTATGCTAAATTTTCTTAAGTTTTTTAATATGCCTTTCTGAGAGCTGCAAGTACCACTTCAACTTTTTTTTTTCAATTTCAAAGTTCACATTTCGATCTAGAGCGCCCAAAAGTATGCTATGATTTTTTAAGTCTTAAAAATATACCATATATCCTAAAATTATAAAATTTCGCATATTGCTATATTGAAATTGCATTTTATTTATGCCATAAAATATTTAAAAAATACGAAAATTCTTCTGTAATTTTTAAGAGCCCAAGAGTATGCCATTTTTTTTCGTACCACGAATTATGATAATATTAAAATAACTATTGGAGTACCCAAAGGCAACCTATATTTTTTTAAAAATACTTTAGTTATCCCATAAAACATTAGAAAACAAAATGTTGTCTATTTTTCTTAAATTAAAGCAATTATTTTTTACTTAAGCGCCCAAAAGTATGCCTTGGTTTTTTTTTAATTTTTAAACATATCGCACAAAATATAACATTATCCAATTTAGTATAGTCCTATATCTGAATGATACACAATAACCTCTATGTGGTCTATACTATCAGCGGAAGCAATAGATTTTCTAAAAAAAAAATATTTGAGCGCCCAAAGGCATGCTATATAATTTGTATATGATTTATTGAAGCCATTTAAATATTAATATAGAATTCTTTTTATCGATTTTTTTTCATTTTAAATTAAAACATTTTTATTAAGTCGCCCAAAAACATGCTTTATATTCGAAACCCTTAAGGTATGCAGTAAAATAAAACTCAATTTCGTATATTTTTCTGTTTAATTTTATTCAGTCTCTTGTATGTCCTAACTAAAAGGAGGAAATATTAAAAAAAAAAAACCAAATTCTAAAAAATGTTGGAGCTCCCAAAAGCATGCTATATATTTATAAAAAAAAATTAATTATGCAAAAAACAAATTATTGATAAAACATGAAAGTTTTAACTATTTTTCCACCTCTATGTTAAAATAAAATTATTATTTAAACGCCCAAAACCTGCTATATCTCTTAAATCCTAAAAGTATGCAATGTAATATTAAAGAACTTAATTTCTTATTTTTCTTCCACTTTATGCTAAACCGTTATCTCCATATCCCAATATATAAGAGAAAATATATACAAAAATTCTAAAAAAATACGGCTCCTAATGGTAGGCAACATTATTTATTTTTTCTATTTCCCTTTGGCCTCCACACACACACACACTCACCACCACCACTACTACTCACTCAAAATTCCCCGAAATCTATTTCGATTTTAAAAATAAATAAATTTAAAAATGGTTTTGCACGACATTCCCCTGGGGCTATGCTGCCTTTAATGACCATCATTATTTTATTTGTCTCCTTCTTTTTTGCTGTTGTTGTTTCAAATGCCAATGACATCAGGACAACAACAACAAAAAAAGGTGGCCGTCATGCCATATTATTTTCAATGGTTCACCTGGTTTCGTGTTCTTGTTGTTGTTGTTGCTATTTAGGTTGTAGAACATCAATGTGCCAGCATTAGAAACAAATTGACGAAATTAATGACAACAACAAACAAACAAAGCCTAAATGTATGCCAAACATGTAGCAACATTAAAATGATGACCTCCATGAACCAATCCAGGCAGCCAGCCAGCCAGCCATCCCTCCTCTGCCCAGGCAACACGTCCTATTTTTTTAGGCCTAGGCCTTTTTTGTTTATTTTTATTTTGGCACTGCGATAAAGGATCCTTTCAATTTCTCTCCAAAAGTATCCAATTTCCATTAGTTTTTAATCATCAAAAAATAAGTGTGCCTACTTTCAGGGTTATATTTTCTGTGTGTTTTTTGTTATTTTTTTCTTCTTCTTGTCATTATTTTGGGTTGAGGTTGAAATGTGTCTAGTGTTGTAATGCCGAGCACAAGCTTTTAAGGGATCTATTTATTAATATTCGTCAAGGACTTTTGTATTTATTTTTATTTATAGAACGAACAAATCAAAATGATTTGAGAACAAAAATGAGGCATACTTTTGGGAGTATTTATAAAGCTAGATCTGGAAAGGGGTAGGGAGTCTGTATATGGAATGTGAATGTGTGTTTTGTAGATGTTACTGGATTTGCTTGCTTTGGACCATGGATTTTTTTATTGGAACTATCGAAAAAATCATTGCATACTTTTAGGTGTGATAACAACAACACATGATAAATAAAATTTCAAAAATTTTTAAATTTGCTTTTTTCAAAATTATAGGTTTTTAATTGAAATTCATACATTTATAGAAATTTCTAGAGCATACTTTTAGGTATATTTTTTAGCATTAATAGAATAATAATAATTTTAGAGACTGTTTTCCGGAATAAAGAATTAGAAAAGAAATTAAATAAATATATGTTTATATTTGTTTCGAATAATTTTGGCATTTACTTCTATCTTACTAGATTTTATACGGACTGTAAATTTTATTAGAACTTGCAGGTAATATTTTAGAGCATACTTTTAGGATAGAGAATTAAAAAAGGAAATTCAAATGTACATATGTTTCAGGGGAATTTTCAAAGCATACTTTTAGGATAAAGACTTTAAAAAAATAAATTAAATTAATTTGTTTTGTATTTATTTTGAATGATTTTGATTTCATGTTATGCTTTAAAGCATAGTTTTAGGATAAAGAATTAAAAAATAAAGGAAATTAAATTTTTGTTGTATTTTTTTTATGTTTTTGGTATGTACATCTATTTTAGATTTTATAGATGTTAGATGGACTGTAAATATTATTAGAAAGCGTACTTTTAAAACAAAGAAATAAAAAAATAATTTAATTACATTTTTATACACGTTTTAATGTTTTTGGCATTTACATACATTTTATGTGAATTATACATTTCATTAAAATTTTCGGAAAAATGTTCAAAGCATACTATTAGGACGGACAAATAAAAAAAATTAATTCAATCCAATTTTTTATATTTAGTTTTAGTGTTTTTGGCTTCAGCTTTTTTTACTTAATTTTATATGGACTGTTAGTTTTATTAAAATTTTAAAGGAATAATTTTAGGACGAAAAAATAAAAAATTCGTTAAATTCGTTTTTTAAATATTTTTTTATTTTTTTATATGGACTGAACATTTTATAAATTTTTTCGGGAAATTTTTCAGAGCATACTTTTAGGAAAAAATAATTTAGTTCGATTTTTTATTTATATTTTTAATGTTTTTGGTATGTACATTTGTTTTTCTAAATTTTATACATACTGTATATTTTCTAAAAATTTTCAAGGCATACTTTTAGGACGAAGAAAACAAAAATTATTTAAATTCAATTTTATATTCTTATTTTTAATGTTTTTTGGCATTTATATACATGTTAATATGGACTGCACATTTTATTAAAATTTTGGAGAACATTTTTGGGGTATACTTTTAGGCTAGAGAATTAAAAACTTGAAAAATTGAAAATAAATGATTATTTTTTAATTAACCACCATTACAGCCTTGTGTACTGATTTCTTCAAAATTAATTGAATTTTGTGAAGCATTCTTTTAGGGGTTCAAAAAATAAAACTGTTTTAGTCCAAAAAGAATTTCTTTAAGGCGTCATTTAATTCTCTAAATTTATGTCTTATGAGATTTTGAATTATTACTTCCCATGATTTAAGGACTTAATTTTTTAAAATTACTTCTTTTTAAATTCTAGATTCGTGCTTCCCATAAAATTGGGAATTTTATCATTAATCTCCATTTTTTCCCCTCTTTTTTCGGTTGTTTCTTTCCAGATGATGTGGAACGTCTAAAGCCACAAAAACGCGGTTTCTTTCAATCGATTTTATGCTGTTGGCGTCGCAATCGTACAAAAACAAATCAAAATGGCACACCGATCGATGGTTCCACAACACCGCCACCACTACCGGACCAACAAAGGTACCTCCTACCTCAGGTTAGGCACTCGGACATGCACAAGAAATGTATGGTCATCGATTTGGATGAGACATTAGTGCACAGTAGTTTTAAGGTGAGTATTGAATATTAATTTTTGAAAAAAAAAATAAATTTTCAAAAAAAAAATTAAATTTTCAAAAAAAAATAATTTTCAAAAAAATTAAATTTTTAGAAAATTTGTAAAAATAAAAAAATTATTTTTTGATAAAACATATTTTTAATATTTTCCGATTTTTTTTTTTTTTTTTTTTTTTTTTTGATTTAAAAAATATTAATTTTTTTGTTTTTTTTTTTTTTTTTTTTGATTTTTTTTTTAATTTTCTCAATTTCTTAAATATAACTCTTGTAATATTGGAAAACATTGTTAAATTTAAATTTAAATTTGCCCAGCAGTTTTATGGCCTCCTTTGCTGATGGCCGAACATAGGTGTAAATATCAGAGAGTTTATTGTTGTTGTCGTTGTATTTTTTTTTTTTTTTTGATAAAACATACTTTAAATATTTTCCCATTTTTTTTAATTTTTTTTTGATTCACAAAAAATATTTTTTCTTTGAAAAATTTTTTTTGATTTTTTTTTTTTAATTTTTTTTTAATTTTTTTAATTATCTCAATTTCTTAAATATAACTGTTGTAATATGGGAAAACATTGTTAAATTTCAAGTTCTTTTTGCTTTTAAATTTGTTCAGCAGTTTTATGGCTTCCTTTGCTGATGGCCGAACATAGGTGTTAATATCATAGAGTTTATTGTTGTAGTCGTTGTTGTCGTTTTTTTTTTTTTTTTTTTTTTTTTTTTTTTTTTTTTTTTTTTTTTTTTTTGATTTAAAAAAATTAATTTTTTTTTAATTTTTTCAATTTCTTAAATATTTTTTTTTTTTTTTTTTTTTTGATAAAACATATTTTTAATATTTTCCAATTTTTTTAATTTTTTTTATTTATTTGACTTTTTTTTTGATTTAAAAAAAATAAATTTTTTTTGAAAATTTGTTTTAATTTTTTTTTTTAATTTTCTCAATTTCTTAAATGTAACGCTTATAATATTGGAAAACATTGTTAAATTTCAAGTTCTTGTTGCTTTTAAATTTGTTCAGCAGTTTTATGGCTTCCTTTGCTGATGGCCAAACATAGGTGTTAATATCAGAGAGTTTATTGTTGTTGTTGTCGTTGTATGTTTTTTTTTTGCTCTTTTTATGTCTTAATAAAATAAAAATATAAATACCATTTTACAATATTAACGCATCGATAATCCTTCGCAAGCCTTGTATAGCAGATACCTCGAATTTGGAGGTGCAGTTTTATTACTTGGCTAAGTTACTGCTGCCACCATGTGGCTCCACCCATATCCTTGTTCGGTTACCTTGTTGCGCATCTAAATATAAACACAATTTCCGACTATTTTTCACCGACACACATCCTTGTCGGTCGGTTGGTTGATGTGGCAGTTTGTTTCGCCTTGTGTCCTTGTCAGACTTTGACAATGGCAACTTTCTACGCCTCCTCTTCCCATCCCCCCTCTCCACCTTGTGGCAATGTTACAAAGTAATAAATTTTGTTTTTAATACCTTTGAATATGCCAAATATAGGAAAACGATACTCATGTATGCCAAGAGGAGCCAGGAACCCAAAAGAGAACCCCCCTTTTGAAATGAAAACTTTCTTAGGCTACCTCTTCAAAACCTCGCCAAGTTAGTCCACAATTTGTAATGTAATACCTAATTAGTATTTTATGATAGCTACCATGCCACAAAATTCGAAGCTTCCCCAAAACTCCTGGGGAATAGCGTGAATCATAAAAATAGTTTGGTTTTTATTGAATTTTTGCGATGGCACGTTTTTATTTCCTGCCTTTACTGCCCCCCCCCACAATTTCTTCCGCATAAATAATAGACCCAACAATGATGGCGATGACTCATTTGTCCCTCCACCCAAGAAGGACAAACTAAGGTTTCCTGTGGCGGGAAGAAAACCTCCAACTCAAACCAGAAGCAACAAACATTCGCTTTGCAGACAAGAATCAAACTTTAAACACTTCCAATTCCTTGGAGACATTTTTGGGGACAAACAAAGAAAAATGGAAGCATTTCGTTTAACGGTCAAGTTCCTTGAGGAAGAGGAGGAAGCACAAGGCAAATAAAATAACAAAAATTAAAAAGAAAAACATAAAATTCTTGAAGAGAAAAGAAAACAGGTGTTAAATTGCGTTGAGCTCCTAAAAGTAGGCAACAGAAATTTTCAAAATGGAATTTTTCTATTATTTTTGAATAATTACCATTAAGAATTATTTATAAAAACCAAAAATCCATTGGAGCAAAGTAACCCTATTGGACTCCTAAAAGTAGGCACCATAAATTATCGAATATACATATTTTTATAGCTAGTGCGCACGATAACTCTCGAAGGGAGTATCCGATTTGGTCCACACTTGGTACTTGTTTTTATTTTTTGAAACTTAGATCGAGTTCGGAGATGTGCAATATCGGTCCACTCCTTCTGGTACCTCCTCCACAAAATGTCGAAATTTTCCAAAAAATGTATTTTCTGCACAGAAGGAGAAAGGTCAATCCGATTTTGCTCCAACTTTGCAAATCCTAATATTTGCGTCAGTGCTAGGTCTGATGCGAAAATGGACAATATCGGTCCACTCCATCAAGTACCTGCCCCACAAAGGGTCGTAATTTTGAACAATTACAACTCTTATAAAATGTGATGTATGAGTCCGATTGTCTTCAAATTTCACACATCCCAATAATTTTATTGGCGCAAGGTCTGGAGTGAAGATGGATTATATCGGTCCACTTCTTCTGGTACCTCCCCCACAAATGGTCGACATTTCCAAAAATTTATTTTCTGCACAGAAGGAGAAAGGTTAATCCGATTTTGCTCCAACTTTGCAAATCCTAATATTTGACTCAGTGCTAGGTCTGATGCGAAAATGGACAATATCGGTCCACTCCATCAAGTGCCTGCCCCACAAAGGGTCATAATTTTGAATAATTACAACTCTTATAAAAAGTGATGTAAGTATCGGATTGTCTTCAAATTTCACACATCCCAATATTTATATTAACCCAAGGTCTGGTGTAAAGATGGGCAATATCGGTCCACTCCTTCTGGTACTTCCCCAACAAAAGATCGAAATTTTGAATATGCATTAAGCTCATAAAACGCGAAATTAACATCCGATTCCATTTAGAATTGGCACATCTGAATATTTTTATAAACACAGGATCTGTTCTAAAGACGGTAGAGTTCGGACCATTCCTTCTTGTACCTATCCCACACAGGGTCAAAGTTTTGAATAACCAAAACGTGTATAAAACCTGTAATAATAATCGAGCATTGGCTGAGGGTATACATCTGTCGGCAAAACCGACTGATACTTTTTAACTTGTTGTCTAGTTAATAATTATTAATTATTTTTAATTAATAAATAAAAAAATCCAAATCAGACCAATGAATTAGTGTAAATTTACTATCAACCTCCTAAAAGTAGGCACCAGATTATTTTCAAAAAATGTTTTGATATTTTTTTATTAATAATCATTAATTATTTTTCGTTTATAAACCAGAAATTAAACGGAGCTACTAAATTAGTGTACATTTGCTACCAGCTCCTAAAAGTAGGCACCAAAAATTTTCCAAAAAAAAAAAACAATATTATTATATTTTTAATAAATAATCATTTATTGCTTTTTATTAACCAAATTGAAATTTCGCTATTATTTTTAAAAAATTACCATTAACCGTTATTCCTGAAAACATAAAATCCAATGGGGCATAGCTCCAAAAATTAGGCACCAGAAATTTTCTAAATAAATATTTTCAATTTTTTCTTAGTTAATAATTTTTAATTATTTTTATTTAATAAAAAACTTCAAATTGAGTCAATAAATTAGTATTAATTTGGTGTCAGCTCCTAAAAGTAGGCAACATATTATTTTCAAAAAAAAACAAAAGTTTGATATTTTTTATTAATTATCATTAATTATTTTTCGTTTATAAACCAGACATTCTATGGAGCCAATAGATTAGTGCACATTTGCTTCCAGCTCCTAAAATTAGGCACCAGAAAATTTCCCAAAAACACACATTTTTATATTTTTAATGTCTTTGGCATTAAATGTTTCGTTTTCTAGTCCAAAAATCCAAATGGGGCAAATAAATGAAAATTAATTTAAAAATTAATTTGCACCCACCTCCTAAAAGTAGACACCAGAATTTTTTAAAAATAAAATTATATCAAGGGTTTTCTACTGGAATCATTAATTATTGTTTACTATGAGTAAAAAATCCAGTGGAACAAAGAAAACAAGTGCTTTATGAGATTAACTCCTAAAATTAGGCAACAAAAAATTTCAATAATTATTTTTAACTATCAATAAAAAACTCCTAAAATAAAAAATTCAGTGAAACAATTAGGTCAGCTCCTAAAAGTAGGCACCATATAAGAAAATATTTTGCATATTTAATTTAACCGATTTAATTATTTCAATAACTAAAACTTTTTTAGAGAAATAAAAATCTGTGTGAAATTAAATAAATTAGTTTTTTTATTTGAGATAAACTCCTAAAAGTAGGCACCAGAATTTATTTTATAATATTTAAAATTTTTTCAAATATTTATCATTAAATATCTCTTCCATTATTCCATTCCAGCCTATTCCAAATGCCGATTTCATTGTCCCAGTTGAAATCGATGGCACCATCCATCAGGTGTATGTCCTGAAGCGGCCCTATGTCGATGAATTCCTACGAAAAATGGGTGAACTCTATGAATGTGTATTATTTACAGCATCACTAGCCAAATATGCAGATCCCGTTGCCGATCTGTTAGATAAGTGAGTAGATTGGAAATATTGAAAATTTTGAAAAACGATATTTGACCGAATCCATTTCCGTTTTCCCCCCTTTTCTTTCAGATGGAATGTTTTTCGTGCAAGACTGTTTAGGGAATCATGCGTTTATTACAGGGGTAATTATATTAAGGATCTGAATCGACTGGGACGTGATTTGCAGAAAATTGTTATTGTTGATAATTCACCAGCTAGTTATATATTTCATCCAGACAATGCGGTAAGTTTTTTTTATAGAGAGTAGAAATTCTGGTTGAGATGAAAAAACTGCAACAGTTTCAATGGCCGTTTAAAGGCCATAATTCGTGCCAAAGGTGACCAATTCGAAAAAATCTAAACTTAATGTAAAATTTGATGCTTTTTCCGGCATTTTTGGCTTTCATTCGACAAAATTAAAAAAAAAATGTAAAAATTATAGCGTTTGACTTTGTTGCAGTTTTTTTATCTCACCCGGTATTTCGAATTTTTTAAAAAAATTGGCCTTGAAAATTGTTTTTGTGAAAAATTAAAAATAATTTTTTTAGAAATTTTTTTCCGAAGAAAAAACTTGACTAACTTTCGAAAAAGGTTTTTTCGATTTTTTAAAAAAATTTCTATGAATTTCCCTTGAAAATTGCTTTAGTGAAAAATTAAAAAATAATTTTTTTTTTGATGCTTTTTCCGGCATTTTTGGCTTTCATTCAATAAAATTTAAAAAAAATGCTAAAAGTATGGCGTTTGACTTTGTTGCAGGTTTTTTTCATCTCACCCGGTATTTCGAATTTTTAAAAAAATTGGCCTTGAAGTTTTGTTTTTGTGGAAAATTAAAAAAAAAATGAAAAATATATTTTTTTTAATTTTTTTCCCGATGAAAAACGACTAATTTTCGAAAAAGGTTTTTTCGATTTTTTGAAAAAATTTCCATGAATTTCCCTTGAAAATTGCTTTAGTGAAAAATTAAAAAATTATTTTTTTTTGATGCTATTTCCGACATTTTTGGATTTCATTCAAGAAAATTTAAAAAAAAAAAATTAAAAATATGGCATTTGGCTTTGTTGTAGTTTTTTCATTTCACCCTGTATTTCGAATTTTTTAAAAAATTGGCCTTGAAAATTGTTTTTGTGAAAAATTAAAAAAAAATGAAAAATATTTTTTTAGAAATTTTTTTCCACGGAATCACTTGACTAAATTCGGAAATAAATGTTTTGATTTTTTGAAAAATTTTACAAGAATTTACCTTAAAAATGGCTTTAGTGAAAATAAATAAATAATTTTTTTTTGATGTTATTTCCGACATTATTGGCTTTCATTCAATAAAATTTAAAAAAAAATGTAAAAATTATGGCGTTTGACTTTGTTGCAGTTTTTTTCTATCGCACTCTGTATTTCGAATTTTTAAAAAAAAAATGGCTTTAGTGAAAAAATAATATAAAATATTTTTTTTTTTTGAAATTTTTTTCCCAAGGAAACACTTGACTATTTTCGAAAAAGATTTTTTCGATTTTTTGATAAATTTTGAATGAATTTCCCTTGAAAATGGCTTTATTGAAAATTAAAAAAATTAATAATTTTTTTTTTGGCATTGGCATTTTTGGCTTTCATTCAATAAAAATAAAAAAAAATGTAAAAATTATGACGTTTGACTCCGTTGCAGTTTTTTTTTTTATTTCACACTCTATTTCGAATTTTTTTAAAAATTGGCCTTGAAAATTGCTTTAGTGAAAAATAAAAAAAAATTGAAAAATATTTTTTTTTAATTTTTTTCTTAAGGAAACACTTGACTATTTTCGGAAAAAGGTTTTTTCGATTTTTTGAAAAATAGTGAAAATTTTTTTTTTTTTTTTTGAAAATTAGTTTCCCAAGGGAACACTCAACTAATTTTGGAAAAATGCAAATTCTTTTATCAAAAAATTTTTAATTTTCGTATTAATTTATCCTAAAAACGTCGATGTTTGAACCCAAAAATTTTAGATTTTTATTGAAACTTTTTTCTTTTTTTTGGGTCCTTGACCCTTGGTCTGAACAGAACATTTTCCCCAAATCCTATTTTAAAAATATACATAGATTCCGTTCTAATTTGCATTTTGTAATTGTTTTCCTCTTCCAGGTTCCTGTTAAGTCCTGGTTTGATGATGCCAGCGATTGTGAACTTTTGGAACTTATACCACTATTTGAGAAATTAAGCAAAGTAGACTCTGTATATAGTGTTTTGTGCAATTCAAACAACCCATTGAACAATCACAATCAGCAGCAGCAACAACAGCAACAACAACAACATTCAATACAACAGAACCAACAAACAACGCCACAACATCAACAGCAACAACCGCAGCAGCAGCAACAACAACAGACCATTACAGCAACAACAATCATAACTCAAGCTTCGACACTGTCAACACCAACAATACTGACGTCACAGCAACAAAACCAACAACAACCACAGCAGCAGCAACAACAACCAACAGGAAGTCCGCCCAATCATAGTGATCTAAACAATAAAACGTAACATCAGTGGGAATTAATGTTTATAAATATTTAATTAATTTTTTACATATTACAAAAAAAAGAAAGAGAAAACAATATATATTATGCGTATATATATAAAGTTTAATAATTAATTTTTTTTATTAATTAATTTCATTTATAATTATTAATTATTTTTTGTTTACGAAAAAAAAATCAAAATACATAACTTATATAATGTTTAATTTTCCGTTCTACCCCAGGCAAAATAACAAATACCCACACCTCCCCTCCCCGCAGAAAAATATAATAAAACCTTATTTAATGTAGTTTTATTTTCAATTTTTTTATATAGAAAACAAAAAACACAAACGATTTTATTTATTTTATGTTTGTACATTTTTTATTTTCAATTAAAATGGAAATGATTTCATTTGTAAATTAATTTTAAAATTTTTCTCTTGAGTTGTAAAGAATTTTTTGTTTTATTCTTATTTTTTTTTTTCTTAACACAAAAAAATATATAAAACAAAAACCAAATGCTTGATATTTTTTATTAAAACAACCCCACCCCCAAAACGAAAAACGAAAAGTGGGACCAAGAAATAATTTGTTTTTTAAACGAACATTTTTTTAAGGTTTCTATAGGAGCTAGAGATTTTTGTTGTTTGGAGACTTAGGGTAAAATTTTATGGAGAACAAATTTTCCATTAACACCATCTCTCTAAAATTTAATGTTATCGAAGATTTGGACACAATCCAATTTAACCTCAAAAAATTGAATTTCCTCATAAACTCAATATGAAGACGATATTTTACCGAGTTGTAATAAAGTTACAAATTTCTTTTACCCGGTGACCCGCCATGAAATTCCAAGTAGAATATTTTTTCCATTGACACCGTCCAACTAAAAGAAAGTTTCACCGGAGATTTCCCCCAAAAGTTAAAGTAACCTTGAATAAATGCCAAACTAAATTATAACACCAAATTAAAAACAATAGTTAATTGACATATGTTATAACTACAGATTTCTGTTACTCTGTAAATTGTAAGGAAATTTGGTAGACAACATTTTTTCCCTTAACACTATATTTGTTCGGACAAGTAGTTCAAGAGATATGGGCAAAATTCCAAATTAACCTAAAAAAATGTAACAAAATTTTCTTGATAAGTAAACTAATTTTATTTTCAATTTATTCATATATTTTATATATGTACACAGATGTCTTTTGCCCTAAATATTGTAGCGAAATTTGATGAAGAATAATTTTCCCCTTGAAACCATCATGATACACTAAAGTATTGTGCGAGATTTTAACAAATTTCGAAAATAACCTCAAAAACTGCAAAGTAAAATTTTTCACTACAAAAATCAAATATGATTTTTGATTTTATTCACATATTTATTATACCTACAGGTATCTTCTGCCAGGCGACTTATGGTGAAATTTAATGCAGAACATTTCTCCCTTTGACACTGTTTGCGTACAATGATATTTTTATGTTGTTTTTAATAAAAATCGAAAGTAACTTAAAAAACTAACCTCAAAATCTTCTACCAATATTTCCGATGTTATTCTAATACCTAGAGATTTACCTTATTTGGTGACTCATAGTAGAATTCGATGGAGAACATAGCTTCCCTTAACACCATCCATATAAAATGATTTATTGTGGAGAAATTTTGCAAAATCCGAATTTAACCTCAAATAAATGCAGTTGATGATATCCCAAATTTGAACTTAGATTTTATTCACATATCTATTGTATCTAGAGATTTCTGTTGCTCTGTGACCTACCATGGAATTCCATGTAGAATATTTTTTCCATTGACATCAAAACCATTAAGCGGCGTTTTATGCGAGATTTTAATAAAAACGGGAGATAACCTTAAAAACGAAATAAAGAATGTTCTCGGTTTTTATTAAAATTTGTTTTCACGTGCCATTCGCTCATTCATTGTATCTACAAATTTCTTTTAGTCGATAAACTATAGTAAAATTTGATAATGAACCACTTTTTCATTGACACCAACTTCCTAAATCGTCGTTTTGTGGGAGATTTGGACGAAAAGAAAAACTAACCTAAAAAATGTCTGATTACAAGCCCTCATTAGGTTTCACGTATTTTTTGATAGATTGATTATACCTACAGATTCGCTTTCTTCAGTGACTCTTAGTAAAACTTGATGCTGAACATTTATCTCTTTGACACCAAATTCCTAAATTGGCATTTTGTGTCAGATTTGAACGAAAAGAAAAAAATTTAGCTAAAATAATGCGATATTTTGTTACAAGCCCTAATTTGATTTCATGTATTATTGATAGATTTATAAATTCTACAGAATTAATTTGTTCGTTGACTCTTTGCAAAATTTGAAAATGAACAACTTTTTCATTGATACCAACGTCCTAAATCATCGTTTTGTGAGAGATTTGGACGAAAAGAAAAAAACTAATCTAAAACAAGGCAATTTAAAATTGCTGTTTACAGACTCAAATTTAATTTTACGTATTTTTGATAGTTACATTGTACCTACAGATTCGCTTTCTTCAGTGAATCTTAGTAAAATTCGATGCTGAACATTTATGTCTTTGACACCAAATTCCTAAATTGGCATTTTGTGTCAGATTTAGACGAAAAGAAAAAAGCTTAGCTAAAATAATGCGATAAAAATTCCTGGATACAAAACCTAATTTGATGTCATGTGTTTTGGAAAGATTTACAAAACCTAGAGATTTATTTTGTTCGGTGATAAAATTTTATGCTGAACAACTTTCTCATTGACACCAACTTCCTAAATCGCCGTTATCGGGGAAATATCTGCCAAAAACGGAATTAACCTAAACAATTGCAATAAAGAAATTTTGCTTGAACAGGTTTGTTTTGTTCAGAGACCCATAGTAAAATTTAGTGTAGAATAATTTTCCCTTTGACACCATCCATCTAAAAAGTCGATTTGTCGGAAATATTGGCATAATTTGTAACTAACCTCAAAAATATGGGAAAATTCATTGAATTCTGTTAAATTTTTTCTGTGAAAAATTATATCAGAATTTCATTATTCTGTTATAAAACTAGACCCAGATACTGTTAAAAGTTTTCTAACAAAAAATTAAATCAGATTCTGTAAAAAATAAAAGAAAAATTCATATTTTTTCTAAGAAATTGGGCAAGATGTGGATATAAATTGCCGATGCTATCTGGGATTCTTGTTTATTAATAATTTCTAAAAAAATAAAGCTCTGTTTTAACAATTTACAAATTAATAATTTTTTTAATTTCTATAGAAGAAAATAAATCTATTCTTTTGCCTTTGCTCTTCACATGCATGCAAGTTGAATAATGCATTACTCTTCACTAAAAAATACTCTACTCTCAGCAAGAGAAAAAAAGTAAACTCTAAGCACCATATGGGGGTTAACTATTAAATGTATGCAAGTTGGATAATCCATTACTCTCCACTAACAAATACTCTACATCAAGAGAAAAAAATAAACTCTGAGCTCCATGTTGGGGTTGACTATTGAGAGCTATCAAATTATAAAGCTGTCTGGCCACATATCAAATTAGTTTTTTTATTTAAGAATTTATTATTATTTTAGTTTATATTTGAAATCATTTCCCTGTTTGTTTTGCTTCATATTTATAATTTAAATAAAAACCAATGAAACAACAATTTCATATAAAAAAATATACAACAACTAAGCTGTATGTAATTATATACATATTAATTTTATATATATAAATATATCGGTAAGGGAAAAAATATCTAAAAAAAAATAAAACAAGAAAACAACAACAACAAAATCCCCCCTTTAACTTAAAAAGTAAAAGAAAAAAACAGATCAAAACTGATGTAACAAAAGAGAAGAAAAACTAAACCTCTTTAAAAAAAAAAAAACACATAATAAAAAAAGCAAAACCTATATATTTGCAATATAAAAAGGAATCCCCAAAACAATAATAATAACAAAACCAACAAAAAATATTAAATATAAATATTTATATATATTTTTTAATAAAACTGAAAAAAAAAAACAAGAAAATAAAAAAATAACAAATAAAATAAAATATTTTTAATACCAATCTTAATTATATATACACTGGCAAAAACAAAAATAAACACAAAAAGCATTACAAAAAATAACCTTAATTATTATACAAAAAAAAAATAAAATCCCAAAATGTTATTTTCCTACTCAGCCCTGCCTCCCCCTTGGAAATTTAATTCATTGAGGAATATATCGCCCCAAAGCATTTGTTATTTTTTTCTTAACTTAATTCTATTCAATTTAATTCAAATTTTTGAGTGTTTGTTTTTAACAAAGCAAAGCATTTTTAGTTTATTTTTTTCTTCATTTAATTTAAAAAAAATGCCTCTGTGTTTGGTTTCAAATTTAATTAATTTTTTTGTAAATGTCTGTGTGTGCATGTTTTTTATAATTATTATTATTAATTAATTGATTTTATTGGTAAATCTACCCTTACCCTTAGTAGTTTTATTCTTATTATTTATAAATAAGTTTTATTCAAACAAAACTCCCAACCAACCAATATCCAATATCATTAAATAAAATCATAATTATTTTTATGTAATATCGTAACCTTATTTATAATAAAAAAATAAATTAATAATATATATTGTTTATTTGAATAAAAATTATTTAAAATAATAATTATTATAATGTTTTTTATAATTTAATTTACAATCAACTAAAGAATACAAAAATTATTAAAAAAAATTAAATTTAAGTTAAATATGGCAACACAAAAAAATCAATCAATTTGCAAACGAAAATCAAAATGTTAATAAAGTTTTAATTTTACCAAACAGATTTGTTTTATTTTTTATTTATTTAATTTTATTTTATTTTTTTTTTTTATTATTTCTTTTTTTTTTTTTGGTTAAATTTAATTATTTTGAAATAAAAATTGTATATTTTTATTATTATTTTCCAGAAAATTTTTCACGACCATAAACACCAGTTTTTTTTTTCTTTTTTAATTTTTATGCTCCACCATTCTATGGAGGAGCTTTGTCATTCCGTTTGTAACTCCTCGATATATTCATAATAGACCCTACGAAGTATATATATTCTGGAACAGCGTAAAATTCTTAGAAGATCTAGGGATGTTCGTCTGTATGTCTGTTGTAATCAGGCTACAATTTTGCATACAGGGTGAGATGAAAAAAAAACTGCAACAAAGTCAAATACCATAATTTTTACACTTTTTTAAAATTTTTTGAATCAAAGCAAAAAATGTCGGAAATAGCATCAAATTTTAGAATA